TGACGACATGCATCACTCAACTGGCATCAAGGACATTTGCGAAAAAGCAAAAGCAAAAATGATACAAATTCATTAATTTCGCTTGATCAAATCATAACCGAAAAAGCTTACATGCAGCCTAAGCTCTTGAAAAGCATCAAGCAGCACGACATCTCCCGCTTGGAGAACGTCCGAGTGCGCGCACAGCGACTGGCTGCGGAGGCTTCCCTCCTCTGGATCGGCAATCCTATCCTACCTCTTAGACTCTTGGCTTAACTGCAACCTGCGATGACAGCTCCTCGCGGTCCTCGCGACGCCAAGCGGCCAAAGGATACCCTCTGAACATTCGCACACACCAAGGTATCGCCTGAGTTGATTCACATCGGACCCCTCTGCTTCAGATGGGTCAACTGATATCTGCTGCCTTCCAAGCTTCTGATTCCTCCTGGCACTGGCTTCTTGATTCCTCGCGCGACAGTTCTCGTAGCCCTAGCAGCTCCTGAACGGCTGGGTAGCACCAGTGCAGCCGGCACTGATCGCAAAACTCAATGCACAGGAGCATCCCGAAGCACGATAAATACCCGCCTCCAAGCTCTTTCCAACCAGCTCGCTGCCCGGTGATACCACCTCAGAGATGCAGCATTGTGCTGGCGCCCCGATTTTTGAGAGAACGAGTCCAGTCTCGAGTGCGCAATGCTAAGGGCTGGATGTTCCAGCCGGGTGGAATCTGACTGCCAGCCAGCTGCGCTTTCGTAGAGGCGCCTCTCGTGACGTCGTCCGCCCAGGATGTGATGGCAGTGCAGTCCTGACGCTAGGTTCTGATTCACTTGTCAGCGACAACGAAACTGTGCGAACTTCTGGCTCGCAAGATGCTTAATATCCTCTCATCACGAAGAGTCCCGGGTAGCGGCGCATGCTGCAAACACCCGCTGCAGAACATCCTCATGAGGCACAAAGAAACAAGCCAAGATATTTGCTGCGAAGCATGTAGCAAAGAAATGCCAATCTCCCTTAGCCAGAGGGACTAGCAGTGATTATGTCGTCCACTTCCAGACACCAATCGTCCAGGTCGAACTGAGATGTCAAATGAGACACTATCTCCGGATGCGCATCATCTGCGAGGCTTTGGAGCCTGCACCAACAGCATATGACAGCTGTCCGCAGCTTTCAGAAGGTTTCATCAGTATGCCTGGAGATTCTCTGAATCAGAACCTCCTTGGAGTTCATGAAGCCAGCAGAGCGGAGGGTGTGGCCACAGACCATGGAGCCGGAAACTACCACGAAGTCCAGCTCCTTCCGCGAAGGAGAAGGCCGGGACTCTGCACATTTTGTGAACGCGGTCGGCCATCCCTTCAATTGCGTTGAGAAGACTTCGGCCATCCGCGTCACATTACCGACAGCAGGCGCACGAACATGTAGATGCAGCCGAAAGTCATACGGAAACTTCTCCTCAGGTTCCAGACCGAGCTAGACCAGGGCGCACGCTTCGGCATGTTCCGTGCAGACAAACGGCAACCTCCCAGCTGATGCGAAAAGAGTCAGAGGCAACCTGCGCAGCAGGAAGCCGAAGACACAGCACAAGATTGTCAGGAAGCCAAGTATCCACATGTAAAGATGGCAACTTCCAAACCACATGAAATGATTGACAACACATACACCTCAGGTCGGCCAGTAAACAGGCTGGCAGCAGTTTCGAACAACTTCCTTTACAAGTACTTCTCAACATGCAGCAGCTTCAGTGCTGCACGAAACATCGCCAACTTTTTGCCACCCGCCCAGCTGAACTAGTCGCACCGCAGGGAAAACATCGCCAATAGATGCAAAGACTGTGGCATAATTCATGGCATAGCATCGGAGAAGGCTAGAATCACAGGGCCCGTCTACTGTGTCTTTACGAGATGTTGTCCGTTTTGGTGGGATCCGTTTTGGCTATCACTTTCATGTCGCGATCCCAGTGCGAGACTTCGGGTCGGTCAACTCGTGAGGCATTTCTTGGTGTGCTTGGAGCATCGTGGCATCTTTGTTCAGACGTGGGCAGGTGGCTCTTTCGAAACTGAATGGCCGGAGGTTTTGGTTTCGGACAAGCCTCGTTTGTCACACACAGCAAGTGAAGATCCTGTGGCCAAATGCCTTTCAGCCGGTCGAGAATCTTACTTCTGCTTCCTAAGTGCGTGCAACCAACCTTAGAATCCTTGGAATGAGAACCTGGGAGGCAGCAGTGAGAGCACTGTGAGACCCGATTATGCTCACTCACTACTCGCATCAAGTCGCCTCAAGGTTGGCGTTCTGCCGCGATAGAGTCGGAGTCAGGATGTTGGGATCGCTATATCCTGTTCTGTGGCGCACCTGGGCAGAGATCACCCAAGGACCCCTTGTGTGACGTGACCTGGCGCAATCAAAACAAGGGCGTAGCCAATTCAGGCTTGACGGAATCCTTTCTGGAGAGCACATCGCCGACAAACATCGCATAGACTCCAAGAACCAGGGCCTGGAGAAGAGCCTCAGAGCCGGGCCACGGGGCCACGCGATGCCACGCGCGCATGGAGGCGAAATGGCAAAAAGGTGCTGCCATCTTCTGCCATCTTCTGCGGAGTTGCCAGAGGCGTCTGCGAGGTGAACTTGATCGAACAAGCCCGGCCCTGGCCGTTGCACCTGACGAGAGCCGCCAATCGACCAAAGAGCTGGCTCTGCTGGCTATGCTGGCTCTCCTTCTCCTTCTTCTTCTTCTTGTAGCTCTTCTCTTCTTTCTTCTCTTCTTGCTCTCCCTCTCTTGTTTCCCTCCCTTGCTGCTTGCGGAAGAGAGGGGCATCACGTCACGGATGGCAATGGACGCCGGGCTGCTCGTCACAAAGACAGAATTCCCGCACATCGCAGCTACCACCATCATCCTGAGATCCACGGAAACATACCAAAGTTTGTTACACTTCACCGTCGCACAAGACCCAGCAGACATCTAAGCCTCAGAAGGTGTGCCAGGTTTCAATAGCAGCGGACGCACCTTGAAGTCATGACACTTCGCCCATTGGATGATCACCGGCGTTGCTGTTGCGATGGTGGCCGATGCGCCCACAATCGCCTTTGTTGTGCAGCTTTCAACGGCTGGAGTACCCAGCGTCCCTGACCAATTCTGGTCGCAACCATAAAATCGACATGTCTCGAAGGAAACCTTCGTCAATGCCAGGAGACCCCGACCACAAGAGTTGTTATAGAAGCTAATGTATTGATGTGCTGCAAAGCTGCTCCCAGACACAGAGTTGCACTGTACAGGCGCAAGCGCGCAGTGCCTACCAGGAAAGCAAAATCGATTTCTGCCGTTTGCACTTGGCCCGAAGTCTTGCGTTGAACGAGGCTGTCTCGCCTGTCACTCTGCCCTGCACATGTTCTTGCAGCTGTTAGTGTTAGTGGCCCTGTGAGCGTATCCCGTAGCCGTACAGTTGGCATCTAGAAATGGAGGAAACAATCGGACCGCGGCTGCACCTTTCTCGGGAGTTCGGCCCAGCATCCGCAACAAAGTGAACTCCATTATTCCTGCCCGACCGCTAAGACTTCGGAAAGGCACAGGGTTGATTCCATAGTTGCGGGTGGAGAGTCGATGTGCCCCGGCAGCAAAGGAAAACTGTCTCCTTGCATCCCTCGGAGTCCCTCGGCTCCTGAGCTGCTGATCCCACGGATGATGACGAGCTGCAGCTGCGGCAACCATGGCCCGATCCTTCACGTGCAGAGCAGTGCAGCGCAGTGCGGAATGCAACTCGCCTCAGAATGCAACGCCTTTGAGCCAGGATTCCGGGAGAAGCCGGAGAGGATGTCTCTATATGTCAGCAAGCCCAGAAGTGCCAGAACGACCAAGTAGCCACAGAACCTCCGCTGTGGAAAGCTGCGATTCTGCAGCGTCCCCAGTCTATGAACCGCCCCGACAGGAGCTGAGGCCAGTATAAACAACACCGCCAAGCGACACAAAAGAAGCACGCACCCCATTCAACAGTTGCGTCAAGCAGAAGATCAAAGACAGTAGAGTCCTGCAAGTGCAGATGTGCATGGCGACTGCATCACATGTTGCAAAGATCATCTTCTCGCCAAGTGCACCCGGTCATGTATGCAGCCAATCGAGGGTGCTGCAAGCTGGGGTTTCCCGACATGGAGCCGGGCTTCAGCATGGCCTCCGTCAACACCTCAGCTGCTTCTTGCAGGACATCGGCACGAGAACAGGTGGCGGTGCGAATTCAGACGTCTGTGCATCTGTGCCATGTGAAACTGAGGATGGCGCAGCAAGAAACACAGCAGAAATGTTAGTGACAATTAGCCAGCTTGGGAAAGCGACAGACAGCTTGCCCTCAGCTGCTTTGCATTCCGCAAGATATGGCGACGCAGAAGCACGACTCGGCTGCGGGATGCTGCGGGCCGAGGCTCTGCCGACTCGTCGACGGGCCGCTGGACTGCGATCTGAGCCGTCTTCAGTGCTTTGAGAAGACGCAGAGCATGATCCACGCGGGATAGCGAGCTTCGGCCGCTCGCAAAGGTACTTGCGCTCTGCATGCTCTGCATGCTTTGCTCGTCCCCCAATGGGTCCCCAAGACCTCTCGCGCTTGACACTGCAGCGAGGAGAGCTTCGAAACAACACAGCAACGTCAAGGGAGCGATCCTCCATGCGTCGACATAGCCGCGCTTCGGCCAGCTGTCCATGCCACACATGGCCCACAGGCTTGCTCAGGTCCGTTAATGCTCAGGAAGGGGAAGGGGATGCTTCAGTGTTGGGGTGCTGCCATGGAGCCAGTGTAGTCGGGGGCTCACAAGACCTAGACTCAGACGCGGTCAGAGGAAATACAACCCAGCTTCTCAGACAGTGTGCTTCTGGCACTGTCCCATCATGATGTCAAGTGCAAGGCAGCGTCTGGCTGTGGTAGCAGTGCAGTGGATCTACATCACTACACTTTGCACTTGATGCTTGATTCAGCTTGCAGTGCGCACAATTTCCGCAATTCGGCTGCAGCACTGGCGTCCACTTGCCAATCTGAGGGTGTTGCCAATTGGATGAAAACATTTCGGTTCCCCCGCGCTGCACTGCGTGCAACAGGTGCTGGTGCACCTTGGGCAGCAGGATAGGGATCCTCCTGACGCTTCACTGGCAATCACAGAGAATAGTTCGCAAGGAGAGCGCCGGCACTTGCACCAACGGACCTGGCATGCATCGCAAGAGTTGGAGCTATCCGAGACAATGCACCAATCTCCAAGTCGACATGCGTGGAGAATCAAAATCAAAAAAACAGCCAAACGGAAGCCTGGACTGGCAGCTTTCCAGCACAACAGTTCCGGCTTTGCCTCTTCGGTTTTTTAGTCGTACTCGGTTCTGCTTCAGCAATTGATGGCAATGCATTAAAGACCGACGTGCACAAAAGAATCCGCAGTCACCAAACATCACAAAGCAGACAAGTCGAGCAAGTGCCGTCACCTTTTGAAAACTCGACGTTTCCGACGATCCGAGGTACAAGTGAGGTTGTCGGCGTCTGGCTGCCCTTGCCCGTGCACATGGTGGGCTGGTCCTTCCCTGCGGTGCTACCACGGAGCTTCGGTGGACATCCTCTGTTTAGCTGGACGCTCTCCCAGCCGGCTCCTCAGAATGATTTATCCGCTGGCTTGGACAAGTTGACCTCCCCCAAAGTGCTTCCAAATCAAGACATCTTCACTATTCTGACGCTCTCTTCAAGCTGAAGTTCAATCAAGGACAGCGTGCAACATAGACAATGACAAACCCCAAAGGGCGAGGCTAAGTGGCCAAAGCCAGAATGGAGTGAGTCTTGCTAGATCAGGCTGCATGCTCAACCCAGCACTATGTAAGCCAGGACAGCATTCCGCCTGACGAGCGTCTGAGCTGCAACACTTCTTAGAGCCGAGGCCAGGATGGTCAAGAAGTACCAGGACACTCGGCACGGACAGGTGCTACGACTTGAGTTCTAAACGGCTTGGCCTAAGCATTGAGTGAATCATGACAAGCAAAACCTTCCAGCAACGAATGGAAGGGTTGCTGCATAGCAGTGCTTCGGAGAAGCTGCTGGTAATTGGCCTGATCAGCGAAGCTCGCTTTGACCCCTCCTCTTTCGTGGACTTCCGACTAAATGGCTCGGCCTCCGCTGACTTGAGAGACTCCTGTTGCTTGGCGTGGGTCTCCTGATACGGCTAGGTTTAATCGGGCTAGTCAAGCAAAGTCGGTGGCCGATTTGGGCATCTGCAGTCCTTCATCTCCTGGAGTTCTTTTCGAAGCCCGGCCAGCTCCTCATCGCGCTGGCTCAACTGGCTGTTGAGACCCCTGGCAAGGAGATGGCTCTGCAGCATCACCACCGTCACCACGTCATGAGCATCAAGCTCGTAGCCAAACATCCCCCTCCCTTGAATCAGACGGCTCGACTCCATCTTCTCCGCCTCAACTACCGTCTTGGATTGATCCGCCTGGGGCGCAGCCATCCCCCCCATTCAGATCGGCTCGTTGGTTTCCCCCTTCCCAAAGCCCTCTCACCTCTCTCTCGTGGTTGCTTGCTTGCGAAGGGGTGTGGGTCCCCGGGGAGACCCTGGCCCGAAGGCCTACCCCCGCAACGGTTCGCGTCGGTTCGTCCTCAAGGCCCCTTTCGGGGGATGAGCGATGCCCACGTTCCCCCAAGTGTGCCTGTTGACCCCCCACAAAACACGACAACAGCTGACCTAAAACCATGACCGTATAAACCTTCAGGCTCCACCTGGGTCATCCGTGTCGCTCCAGTTCACAACTACTTTGGGGACTCGTGGCTGACTCAACTGCACCTCTTTCTTTCGCCAGGGTTGTGATGCAGGGGTGTTACCCCCTACATCGCGCGCGTGTGCGCCCCCGACTGTTGCGGAGGAGAAAAAAGGCAATTCTCAACCATCGGCTGTCGAATGTTCAAAATAGAAGTCTCTGCACTCAGCAACTGCACTCGGGACAGCCAGAAATACCAGCTCATACGATAGAAGGGCAGCTCAAGGTCAGAACACGATCGAGATTGCTGATTCGGGGTTGTTCCCCTTGCATGAGACTTTGTGGTTGAGATTGCGGATCAGCATTATTGCAACAGAGCGTGAAAAGATGCCACGACACGTGCAAGCGTCCTGAAAAGATGAGGGGCAACAGCCCCTATGGAAAGTAACGGCGAAGTTTCAGGGAGCTCACATTTGAGCTAGGATCGGATTGGGGTTGGCTCAGCGGCCCGTCCTAGTGTACAGCCCAGCGTGCGGCACAGGCAAAAGCAAAGGTAGTATAGCTCAGTTGGAGCGAGGCGAGTCCATCCTGGGGATGCCCCCGCAGATTTTGTCGCAGCAAACGAAAGGGATCTCGGACGAATTAGAAACAACTGAAGCAGGAAAATGTACAAGGGGAAAAGCCCCTGCCACGCTCACTCTCATCAGCGGTTCTGGTCTCGTTGTTGGGCGTCTTGCCGCCTTTTGGTTCGCCTGTGGTCCCGGTACTCCGCTTTCTGCTGACTTCGGTACCTTCTCCACAACGTCTCGTCTGTGTCGTCCTCTGCGTGCCTTTGCATCTCACCGTCCTGGAGGAGTTGCTGTAGTCGTCTCTTCTGCCTCATTGTCAGCGTCGAGGGTTGCCCTGCTGGTTCAGGTGTCAGGTGGAAGTAGGCCTGCCGCTGCTGCATCACTGTTTGCCGCATCAGCCTCAATCTCTGCTTTGCCTTCGGGGCTGCCCCCGGTGATCTCCCTGTCATCGTCATTGTTGTTTTTGAGCTCGGCGTCGTTGGTCTCCGGGTCGTCCTGTCCCCGGAGTCCGCGGTGTCAGCGAAGACGTCCACCATAGGGTGTAGCCCCCTGTGTGTTCCCATTGGCGAGTCCCCCTGCTGCTGCGGAGCTATGTTGTTGGCGAGGTCATCCGTGCTTGTTGTTGGCGCTGCCTGGTCCATGGGCTCAGTGTTGGCATAGTACTGGATCGTTTGGTCCACCCCGTCCACGCGCTTTGGTTCCTCGTTTTGGCATGCATGCAAGGCTTCCTCGTGCTCGGTCCAGGTCGTGGCTGTGGCAAGGTCGTGCTCGTTGTTGTCGTAATTCTGGATCGCTGTCTCCTGCTCGTCCACGGGTGGTGGTTGACGGGGGTTGCCCCGGGCAGTGTCCTGGTTCCAGGTTTGCTCCTGCTTGGGTACAAGTGTCGGCATCTCCTGCACCGGCTGGTAGGGCTGGTAGGGCTCCCTGTCAACATTGGCGGTCGTAGCCCCAAGCGTGGTTGTTCCCCGGGTGGCGGGACTTGGTACTGCTCGAAGTTGTTCCCCTGGAATAGCACGGGCAGCACCAGCTTCAAGGGGGGACGTTCCCCGCAGGAGGCCAGAGGAGGAAGAAGGTGTAGGTGTAGAGGGCGTAGCCCCTGTAGTCATGGCAGCCTCCCGCAAGAGACCAGAGGAGGTAGAAGACGTTGAAGGTGCTGTGCCTGCAGTGCCTGCAGCCGTTTCTTGCTTGTCGAGCTCGGGTGGCCAAAGTGCCGCAGGAGCGCTCGCAACCGCCCGGACTGGAGTGCGGCCCGGCCTTGTTGGTGGGGCCATTTCCGCATATATGATTTCACGAAGTGGTTCCAAGAGGGGGTCGTCGTTACCCATGGTCTCGCAGATGGAGGTCGCTGAGGTCGCCGAGGTCCAAACTTCTGCATCCTTGTGCTTCTTCTTCTCCTTCCTGTGTTTGGCCTTAGTGGGGGGGGGAGGGGGGGGTATGATGCCTGAAGCGGGTGGAGACGGCATCGTGAATTCTGCCGGTCTTGCCTGCGACTTTGCGATGAGGAAGGCGTGGATGCCCGCTGCACTTTTGGCTTCACAGCCATGGAGGTAACAGGCTGGGTCGCGGCGGTCATGTCCTCCATGAAAGGTCGACCCTTCAGCACAACGTCTGCATCGAGGCTCCTTTTTGCCTTCCGACTTCTTGGCCATGGCTTTGGAGAGGTCGGAGGGGAGGTTCCCCTGGATCCCAGTCGTAGGCAAGGAGTGCACTCACGATGTCGATCCCCAATATCACGATCTTGACGTGGATAAAGTCGTCGATCGAGGATGTTCCCCGGGTGGGTCGGCCAGTAGAGGAGGTTCTTGAGTAGGGCCGCCGATATCCTTGTGGTAGTGGGTCTCACTCTCCCGAATGGACAGGACGGCTGCGGTCACCGTACAGGTCCGTTGCACACCGATCTCGCGTTTTAAAGCGGGCAGTTCGAACAGCGCAAAGTTCACCACCTCGTCTTTCAGCAATCGCGGCGGAAGAGTAAGAGAAGGCAAGAGGGCAAGCGGCCGGGTTGAGGCGGAGTGGCCCCGTTGGAGAGAGGAGGAAGGAGAAAGGCAGAGAGGCCACCCCCCTTGAACCGCTCACGGCTTGAGCCAAAATGGCTACTCTCTCTCTCTCTCTCTCTCTCTCCTGGGCTTGAGGGCCGGTCAAGGCCCCCGGGCTTCAAGCCCACCCGATCTTTTATCGGGACGAGAGGCGTGACGAACGAGTGTAGGCATGGATTTAGGCTGCAGCCATAAAGCATACGATAGTGAAATCATCCAGCCGTACACTCTCATCGACACATGCAAACTGAGGATATCCCCCGACAACGTTTTCGCGAGAATCAATGATGCAATAAGAAGCATAGCACGAAGGGTTTTTGTCGGTGGGACTCCGCTCAGTAGTAACCTTCCAGTGTTTCCCCCGCGGCAACGTCTTTCACAAGCCAGAGTCAACTGCAAAACCAGAGATACAATTACGAGTACGTGTGATTACAACTTCGTCCCCGCGGGTTCTTTCCACTGATTACATCAAAAGCCTCAGTAATGACATATCGGGGGTTGTTGTTCAGCATAGCAACAAAGAGGAGGCCCATGCAAGCTACAATATCCTCCTTTTGTTGCAAGTCAAGAAACCCAGAGTAAGCTTAACCGCGAAACACGAAGGATTTCCCCCTTTCCCCTCTATGTCACAGTTTCGGGAAACAGGTCTAGGGAGTAGCAAAAGTTGTGTCGGTCGAATTTAGCTATCCCTACAAGATGACCAAGCATGCATTTGAGCGAGGTGAACGTTGGCTGAGCGAAGGCCCGAGGGCCTGATTACAAATCGCATTACAAATCTTCTCGAAAGGTCCCCCGCAGGGGTCTCAGGAGTTTTGAAAAAGTTCAGAGCGAAGGTCAGCCGAAGCCGCCGTTGAAAAGGTATCTGAGTTGAGCGAAGCAGACTCCCCCGACAAGGAGTATGAACATGCGAGCTCCAGGAATGGGGGGAGAGGCACTGGTGCATCAAGATTCGAAGTACAGCACACTTGAAAAACACAACCAACTAATGAGTCCCTTCCCCCCAGCTTGGCACACGAATTTGTTTTAGCATTCAGCTCACGGCGCTCTCACACTCACGTTCCCCCTTGTGTCTGCCACTGGGAGACACTTGCCTCCCCCGATGCGACACACCCGGCATATCTATTCCTCCCGCAGTCCCTCCATGATGTTGAGGACGATGTAGGTCGGAGTTTGCTAGGTTGTCGACTTTGCCACTTGCTCAAACTTGTAGGGGTGGTTGTCCTCCGCCCAGCGTGCAGGTACACCAGGAACAGACTCCCCACGAACTTTGCAGCAAGCGCGAAGCAGGACAGCGTTAGTTCCCCGACAGTGGCGTGCTCGGTGAAGTTCTTGCAGTCCCCCGGTCGCCTGCCGTGAGGAAGTTGTCCCGAACTTTACGATGAGCTCGATAGCATCGAGCTACCCAGCAGTCAACTAGTTACTTTTCGGGAGAAGGGGGCAGATCCACCTCTCCACACGGCACAGGAAGAGAGGGGCTTCACTGCCGCACCTTCCCCCTCGAGAGTGCGGGGACGTCGTAGTTGGCGAAGACGATGTAGAGCACCTTGAGCCAAAATGGCTACTCTCTCTCTCTCTCTCTTGCTCTTTCTTTCGCCAGGGTTGTGGTGTAGGTCTCTCTTGCTCTCTCTCTCTCTCTCTCTCTCTCTCACGAGCTCGAGTCGATCATGCAACACCACCGCAGGCCTAAAGACACTGCACACGATAAACCCAAGTAGGTGGGAGTTTGGTTCAACTTCGAGGTTCGCTGAAGAGTTTGGGCTTAACCCCTCCGAACCTTGTGCCCCTTCCCTCCCGAAGCTGAAAGACAACAACAAGCAAAACAAGCGCTAGCACGACAAGCAAACAGGAAACAGCAAAACACGCGGTGTACCTGCAGCATGGCGGAGTCATGACAGGTCATGCTAACTTCGCTGCTGGAAAGACATGAAACATCCGTGAACGAGCATGCCGGAGCTCGAGACCGGCTCCGACGCGGCTCTCGCACTGGCAGTTATAATGGTTAAATAACCGCTGAACTCGCTGCAACGTCTGCTCGGACCCTTAGCGGCTTAGCAGATCCGAGCCACAGCCAACTTGGCAGCTTCAGCCGCCTGCACCTTCATTTCCTCCAAAAACATATGTCATGCAACGGACAGGAACGAAGCCTTCTCAGCTACAGTACTGCTACTGTAGCTAGCTGGCACGTGCTCCTCGAATTGCTGCTGCATCTGCTGCAACATCTCCTGCGACTCCAACCGTACTTCCAAAGTGCACAGAAAGAAAATGCTGTAAACCAGAAGAGCTGGCCTCGAGGTGCTTGACTTTATTCGACAGCGTCTTGTTTTCTGACTGTAGCTGCAGTTGGTGAGCCTGCGGGACCATCTCGTGGCGACACAAGCATTTTTACTTGATATACCCAACGCCTCCATTTCCTCGTTGTGCTTTCGCATTTCAGAAGCCTGCCGAAATCCCGGAATGTAGAAGCAGAAAGAGCACGAACAAGTACATTTCCGCACGGCGGCTTCACCCATGCAAACTGCAGAAAGACCCCACAGTCACTGCGTAGAGCCAAACCAGCATCACAGCACAATCATATCCTAGCACGGGGAGCCCCCTAGCAAGTCGGCACATATACATTGCGACTACAAGTCTCAAAGTCTACATCATACTCCTTGCTGCTGCATTCTTTTACATGTTTACACAAACATGTCAGTCCGCAGTTGAGCGTGAAAGTTGTTTGTTTGTCCCCGATACCATGTTGGTTGTTTTTAATCGATAACTTTGTAGCCATGTGTGAACGGTGCACACCTTCGCTGGACCCGAACTTTGCCAACCCACATCTACAGTTTCTATATGAATCATACTGAGGTCAAAGCTTTCCTAGAAGATCACCTGGCTGGTAGACAGAGCACGGGGTATGGTGTCAAGAAGCGGAAGCATCGCTGCGGCCGCTTCGCTGCGGCTCTTCGCAGACACCCAGAAAGCATCTAAACGCCTTCAAAAAAATGACTCCAAATCCACCGGAACCATCCGGGCCGGACTTCTTTCGCCCTCGGCATTGCCTCTCGTAGTAATTTTCAAGAGGCCGTTGCCAGTTGCATGCTCAACAACCTCCGCGATCCGCAGCCGCTCCTCCAGCTTTCCGTTCTGGTCTGTGGCACTGTCTTTGCCTCATCTTCTACGACTTATTGTGGGCCGGGGTCGCTTTAGCCGTTGGTCGTCCGCCTTTCGTTTGCTTCGTCATGCAAATTCCGTCAGATGATGCTTTTATTCTGTGTCACCGTTCATGTCCGGAAGTGCATCCAGACCGAATCATTTCCAAGATGTACTGTACATCTTACTGAAATGCATGAGAGACAGCGCCGGCATGAGAGATCAGACACTGTCTATCAAGCATGCACTGCTGGTGGGGGGCCAAGACTGCCCTGGAAACATCAGCCGGCCGTGATGATGAATTTGACAACTTAGTGCACAAATCTGTTCAGGATTCCAATCAAGTCTGCACAGGAAGATGTCCAGGCATTGCAAATGGAGTGGTCGGAGTTCCAACGCAAACATGAACAAGTGCTGACTGAATCGGCCGAATCAGCCCGTGTAAAAGAGGAGCTTGGCGCCAGTTGAGCGGCCTCTGATGCTGGAATACAGGGCCTTCGTTTGATGCACCTCCAGGTCTTCCTTCCCACATGACTGCGGCGGTTCTCAATGCCGATTCTGTGAATGATGGCCTGAACGAGCGTTTGGATTCGTTTGCTCGTGGTACCTACCTTCGATCCGATAAAAATGGCTGTGAAGCCGATTGCGTGATGGACTTCTCATAGTCCATAGTCTGCCGGAGAACCTGGAGATCTGATCTGCACCTACTGAAATCTCGCCTGTTCTTGTGCCTTTTGTGCCTTGGCCATCATGGCTCCAACCTTGACAAAAGTCAAGCTGCACAGCATGAATGCTACACAAGCCATCGCTCCTCACTGCAGTCTGCTTCAGGCCTCTTTTGCTTCTTGCTTTAACTTCTTGAGCTGCCCTTTCGCGTTGCGCATGCGGAGACGCCTTCGTGGCCAAGCCAGAGTTCGGAAGACGACTCAGCAAAACTGGCTTCGTCGCAGTCGCAGTCACCCCAAGAACCAGCGACATCCGAATTGATGGAATCACGGATACATCTCCTGGTACAAAACTGGGGGCGTGACTGCTGGGCAAAGACGATCGACTGCCTTGTCAGAAGAGAGGAACTACGACTGTCCGCAGTTGTGTGGCAATGATGCTGCCTCAAGGCATCGTAGATTGTCCGCTCCCTTCGAGTGCGGACCAAACTCTGTAGCCTGCCGAGATTGACGGCTCAAGTAAGCTCATATCATGGAACTCATCAGCACATATCTCACGGCGCAGTTGCTCGTGCACCTGGCCGCGCTGACATGCCGTCTGTGCTCTTTGGCATATCGGCGGCCGAGCACCCCTCTTCGCACAGCTTGAATCTTGATCACCTGATCAGGATGTGAAGGTCGGTGTTGAACGAACGTCCCATCTGCGTACTGCCTTGCGCAGGATATTGTGGTACCTGGTCCGCGCCTGGGCACACGTCTTTGCGCAAAAGTTCGCATTCGTGTGCAGAAGCTTTTTCCGGGGACTCTAGCGACCCTATTTTCAACCTCTCGACGTGGGGAGGTAGACAAAGAAGCTGTATAAGCACTACTATGAGATATTGACACGAGTTCCTGAAGAATACAGACCCTAGAATGATTATATTGACATATATGATTTTACGCGGATTATCGGTCCCTTCCTTGTCCTGCCAGTTCTTTCATTCTGCGGGTCATAAAGGAAGAGAGCAACCACTGATCAACCCCTACCCCCCTCGTCACATGCACCCAATGTACTGGGCCCCCTTAACCTGTGTAAAACATGTCGCCCCCTGCTCCACGCGCAGGGTCGCCCGCACACACACACACACACACACACTTCGGATACTACCCCGACAACATGCCAGTGCCATCTTTCTCAGCATCGATTGCGCACCCTACTTGGGAGTTTGCGCTTGGGTCCTCCAAAAAGGAGTCCTCCATCGAGATATGGAAAGGAATTGCGAAGGCCTGACGGTCCGTCAAACGGCAACACTTGGAAATTGCGATTTCCCGCTCTATCGGCTGTTTGGCAAGGGGTCCCCCTCCAAGATGCAGTAACCCACAGGCTCCCCCAGAAACGTAACTGTGTGAAATGATGGGCTCGGGCATCGTTGTTGTTGCTGGTCTCTGATATCTCCTTCTGCATATCGACTGGGCCACAAGTTTCTGAACTAGGCGAGCACCCAATCTTTCAGACAATCCCATTTTTATGGCATCTCTTATGCAAGCCCCTCTCTGTGTCGCTCTGGCTCTTCCCGCTGTTGTTCCTTCAAACACTCACGTCGATCTTGATATTTGCATTGTCGTGTAAGAACTGACTCCTGGACGTCAGCTGAGACGTTGGGCTCCCTGCCAACTTGGCTCGGGCATGAGCCTGCAGCCTCGTGGCGCAGTCCTCGGACCTGGCTCGACGGGGACTACACGACAGGATACGACAGGTGTCCATCGGCAGCACGGAGCCTCCTCCTCTGAAGGTCAGTGCGAGCCTGTCGAAACTTCGTAGTCATAGTCCGTAGAAGTACTAACTTTCAGAGCTCGCAGGAGCACCTGCTTCGACCGCAGCAATGCTTGCACCTCGACTGCTTAGGGCGAGAATCAGCATTTACCAATCGCGACCATGGCATCGTTACAGAAGGCGCATACAGCTACGAGCGTGAGGACTGAGAACATCGCATGACGAGTAAACAGTCGTATGGCGACAAACCTCGGGCAGTCAAAGCTGCAAGAAAGGCTACTTTGCAAACTCGGGCCAAAAATGCCTAGCAGAAGGATCAGAAGGGGTCTAGGCGGCCTGCATGCGTCTCCGTACCTTGCCGCGCCAGGAAGCCTCCAAGTCATGAGTCATGATTATCCGATTATCCGTGTGCTGATGGGCCTATGCGAGCAGAACGGGCCTGGATCAACGTCGTGCTCTTGATCAACAGCTCCAAACCTTCAAGCCGGCAGCAGGCTTCATCAATCGCTCAGCTGTGTACCGTGGCCCGGTGTCTCCATATTTTCATCGCCGCCAAATGCAGTCATCACACTTCTAAGCATATTTGTTCGGAGGGTCTTGAAATCCACTTCAGGATGCGCGGAGACGTCGTACAAGACCAGAACTTGTCGTGGTCCAGCAACGTGCAGGTAGCCCAGCCTCATGAGTCTGCAGGTCTGCTTCTTTCAGCTCTTGGACACACAATTCTTCTTACTAGTAGGCTTGCTTGTGTCGGCATACGACCAAAAAAAGCAGGAGGCCGCAAACCAGACATATTTAAGTAGCGCGAATCATGCGACTGGAAGATGCGCTACCAGGCTCGAAAAGCGAAAATGCGGTGCAAGCCACAGTGTTGGAGTACAGGCATCTCGTAAGCAAGAGCCGAACAGTGGAACATAATCAACCGAGAACGGCCGACATGCTTTGTTGTGCCCCATTGTCTTTGACACCCTCGCCCTCAACCTCCTGTTTCCGCTCGCTGAGCCGCCTTCCAGGATCCCCTGACCTTCACCGACTCGATGTTCGATCCGAAACATTCTGGAAATGACCATCCACCCTGCTCCAGGCCTTGCAAGGCCTTACTAGGCTTGGGTCTTGGCCTGGCTTGGCCTCGCTTCGTTTCAGCAGCAGGGCGTTGGAGCTGGGATTGGATACGCTAGAGCAAATCGAATACTGCCATCACTAACCGCAACTTTGGCGCACCAAATGTCCTCGTTGTCGGATTTATTGTTTTACGTTCAGCAACTAGCACTGGGGTAACCACTCGTAGTTTTGGCTCGACGGAAAGATCAGGACGACAAAGCTGCACGAATCATCCGGGCTTGCAGGCTTCAAACCCGCAGGAGGCAGTCTCAAAACGGTGTGACTCGGTTTGGGCGAGCAAGTTTCGGCTTGGATTGGATTTGCCTTGGCTTTCGTCTAGCCTGGCTTGTCGGCTTGTCAATGTCAGGGAGCTATATAATCTTAAGATCTGCTTTCAGCAGTGTTGGGGTCGAGCGGTTTTGAACCCTCCGACAATGACTTAAATAAAGTCAAAACTCTGAGAAAAAAAGGCAATGAAAACCTGCAAACATAACTTTGGATTTGCAGCTTTGGGCCTGGACCGACGCAAGTTCTTGGTGCCTGCATAGGGCTTTTGCGAGGCCCCAGCGTGTGCGAGCCGTTCCTCACAGGCTCGAACATGCCCACAAACTTGGATGTATTCTCAAAATCGTTCAAATCCAGTGTGAAACTTTCAATATTTGATTTGATTTCGGGTCTTCTTCTTAGATGCCGTAGAGTACCGATCTAATCCGTCGAAAACATTGCTGTCCTTCTGCGGCGCCACTTTTTCGGGCTCGCCAGCCTTCCACGACCTGTTGTAAGAGAGGTTGCAAAGGAATGTGGGATGATGTGGTTGCGGGTGCGGTCTCAAAATCGTTCGCAGATCGCGCTCACTGTGCCTTGATCGCAGTGTTTCTTCGGCCATGTGCAGCTTGCAGGCAAAAAGCCGCGAAAGCCAGGGCTACGAACAACGTAAACATAATGTCGAACAGCAAGAAGCTGCGAAGCACATGCGCCCACCACATCACTTACTAATACTATTGGCTTAGTCATCGCAAGCCTAGGCCGCTATGCACATTGAAGTAAACGGCGGATTAAAGATGCAAGAACAAGCCAACTAATTGGGCCTGCGTGCGGAGGATGGGGTTGGGGGGCTTCGGCTGGGTCTCTGGGTTGGGGGTAAGTAACATCCTGGGTGTTTCTTTCCGGCCTCGGGCACATGCCGGCTGTCTCTTCTACTTTCCGGCTGAATTCCCGAATGAACACTGGTGCTGCATCGGATGGGATACTCAGAGTTTCACAACAGGCTCAAGGTGAGACGTAGCAGCCCTTTGCAAGACATTTGGTTGCTTTTCCTGCTTGTGCCTTGATTTTCGCGTCGATTGGTTCATTTTCTTCCAGATTTCGGTGAAAGCTCGGACAATGGCCACAGATCCCGCAGCCGCCATGGCTGTTGAGCAGACGGAAGCGCAGCCCCTTGCGCCGACGCCGACGGATGCTCCCAACGAACATGAAACAGCTCCCGCTTAGACAATCATGCCAGCTCCAGGTATCCCAGTGAAAGCTCCGCCCCCTGAGTTGGTCAAGCAAGAACCTACAGAATCAGCTCCAGGCATAAGCCGGATTATCAATTTGACGCCAGATTCACAAGTGGTTCGATTTACCAATGGCATCATTCACCTTAGGCAGGCAGGCAAAGAGCCTGAACCCATCTCCAGCACTTTGTATGACGCGTTGGTCTCCAACCTTCAAGCCCAGATGCAGCCCGGCGCTGCCTCCGCAATGTCTAGCATCACTGGTTTGGCAAGCACTTTTAAGGGAAGTGCTCCAGACACAGACCAAGATCCCATTGAGTGGGGAGATATGGACCCGAACTTTAGAGAAGCTTTGCAAAATTCTCCGGAACTCCTTCGTGCTTGTAATACCGCACGCAATCCTAGGAAGGTCGCCCGCCTTGACCCCACCACGAACTCCTTTACTCCTACCACCAACGTCGAACTCCCTGCCCCCAGCGTTGGAGATCCCTCCGCCTCAGGTAACCATGGAGAACCTCAGCACGGTACTTGCACAGTACCACGAACACACGGTGCAGCCCTCCTTGGATCTCCTTTCGAATCACATTAGGCAGGAAGTGATTACTAGGCTGGACAGGCAAGGCTCCTTGGCTCGATTTGAGGGTTTGGCTCTTCAAAGTGTTGAAGCTGATGTTATTCGCCGCACTGTTTTGATTCATGGTTTGCCGCCGTTCACGAATAAGTCTACTATTGCTCACAATCTCCAATACTTGCTGCAACAGGCACACCTTTCAGAGGATGACATTCAGACTACTTCCAATCACGTGAGCACCTCCACTAATGCCTTTTCAAGGTCACGTTTTTGCAGGAGCACTCCTCCAAAGCCTTCTTTCAAGCTTTTAAGCAAAAAACGTTGGTACCACTCCCAAGAGCACCAGGATTCTCCCCTACGCATAGAAAGAGACCTCCCTGTACTTGAGCGCTTGGAGCGCGTTCCGCTCCATGCTGTGATGGAGTCGCTCACGAAACCACAGAACCCCTCCATTTCCGGATATTTGAAATGTGACCTCAACTCCCTTCAAATTTGGGACCCAGAGGAAACGCAGCTCCTTTCTCAGGTGATCTACCTCCCCGACAAGAACCTCTCGTATGCGTGTCACATTCTGATTATTTCAGATCTCTTCGAAGCGGTTAAGTCCGAATTTCCAAGGTTCTTTTGGGATAAGATGGCCTCCTCCATTCAGTTCCTCCAAGCCTCAGCTTCAGCCAGCCGACACGCCACCACAGCACTTCGATATCACTTCACGCATACCAAGGATGTCTCCAATGTTTCTAGGGAAGAAGCTATCAAATCTTTTCCCTACGCAATTTACCCCATTGAGATGGGCGAAAAGCTTTGCACACAGCTCACCAAGAACCCGAACCACGTTTTTTCAGGGTTTCTTAGGAATGCAGCCAGATCCAAGAGGCAGTCTCCGATGCAGGCCTCAATTTGGAAGACTATGGCCGGAAACAAAGGCTCCCGAAACAAGGGCAAAGGCAAACGCTCTGAGAACACGAAACGCTGGGAACGCCAGCAAGACGATGACTATGACGACTCCAATCAGGATTGCCATCGTAGCGGTAAAGGCTCCCACCGAGAGGCTCAGAGCTCCTTTGGGGATAGAGCACGTTCCTCAGGCAAAGGCTCCAGGCAGGATTGGACCGATTACTCCAGGCCCGCTAAGAATCGCCAATGGGAACCGGCAGAAGAGGCAGGCCCCCGCTCCCGTCCGGATCGCTGGTGGAATGTGACTTTGAGAACTACGATCCCTCCAAAGACTCCACCCGCAGACGCCGAGAGGACGATCGCCAGAAAGGAGATGGCAGGAAGACCCGGCCCCGTGGCCGTGCCTTGGACGACCCCTCCCTCATCTTCCCTTGTGAGGATTGTATGGCTCTTGCCGGTACCAACACCAACTGCAACACATGTCGCCGCAAATAAATATGGTATGCACTATGAGAAGCTTTTTCGCTTAGACCTGCTCCCAGACCTCGAGAAAGCACCGGCCAACAAACTCCCTAGTTTTCCTTGTCGCTTCCCAATGGATGATAATGGTGCCCTCTGTGACGCCACTGAGAACGATTGCTACCTAGGCCTAGGCAAGTGCCCGGCATGCAAAGCTCAAAGACAGTATTTTGTTCGCCTTTACGGTGGAGACACAGCAGAGCCCTCCAGTCTCTACTATCATGTGCTAGTTGTAGGCTATGAGCGCTCTATTCTCGAGTACCTAGAGGACACAACTCACAAGCTCCAGCAGGCACTGATGGACCTCACATATGAAGATATCGTTGATAAACAAGCAGATCCGACAAAAGACTGGTTTTACGCCGTTTCTTTTCCGGAAGAAGGCCTTGAAGACCTCCCCCGCCCTTATGTTGACCCGGTGTATGTTTCGCAGAAGTCTTCGTTTCTCCCCAAACCCTGGCCCGAATGGAATCACCTCCACCGCTCCTTAGACCACGCCAACCCGAACCACTAAAGTGCTATGATGCACCTCTTCGAAGTTGCCCTCGCCCCGGCAGTGGAAGAAATGATTCATAATTTCTCTCTCCCCTTGCCCTCAGAGGTCCCGGAATTCAATCACTTCGGTTGGAACGACTCTACCTTGGTTGTTCAGGAATTGGTTCCGTGGAGGGAAATGATCCGCCAGTCCTATAGCCTAGCTCTCGAAAAGCATGGTATTCCCAAACAGTGGGACACTGGTTGCGTGTACAACTTAGTCCACAGTCTCTTTTCAGATCAGCCGGAGTACCTCCTTGATCAAGGAGTCGAACAGCTCAACACAATTATCTTTCAGCACTCACTCTCGGACAAACCACAGAACACAATTATCTTTGAGGATGAAGATTTGTGGTGTGTTTTCGCAGGGTATGCTCCTTGGAACAACGAAAACCTCCAAACAACAATTGGCTAGCTCTGGCTCCTGCTACTTCGACATTGTATACTATCAGGTGACAGCTCTCCACAAGTGCCAAACCACTAAAAACAGGACCTTCCCGCTCCCAATGACCAGTTCGTAACCATCTACGACACTATGGTTGATCGCATTCATAGAGATC